CCAATGTAATAAGAATGGTACAGGGTGGTACTTTCGCAATCTTCTAAGCCGGTTTTGTTGCTTAGACGTTTATCGTTCTATCATCGTCTTACATAAACCTATTACCTGCGATCTAATAAAGCCTTGTACTCTATTTTCGCTATTCGTTTATACAGTTAACACTTGATTGTCGTCTCTTCTTCGCCATCATTCAATCCGAGTGTTTCTCGTACGTCGGCCGTGCACATATTTACTCTGTGCGTCCATGGACGGTCTGACAAGTAGTCATTTGCGCGGATAAATCATAGAAACATTGTGCTTACACGGCAGTATATGTCCGACCGAACATATTTAATGCTGATTAGAATTTTACGGTTGTGAATGTGACCATTAAAATGCTAGTCGCTGGTCGCTGGTCTTCTAGTCCGTCTCGTTAGCTAAGGAGGTAGTCACAGGTTTTTCGCATTATAGCATTGACGGGCTTATTCTACCTGCAGATATCCAAACATATACTGCAGTTGCGGCATCCCAAAACTGATCTGAGAGATAATAGCGCCATCTCACTGCCGGATGCTCCGCTGATCGATTTTCGTCCGCCGGCGCGCATGACGTCACGCTGAGAGTGATTCTCATTTGAGTTGATAACGTGCATATTTTCACTTACAGGGCAAACGGCTGGACGGATTTTCGCATATGAAGTGTTGTTGGATGCGAGTGGAACAAGCTGCATTAAAATTTCATACAAAACAAAATGGCGAAGTTAAATAAAAGATTACAACATTGTAATTCCTGTTTGACAGGCTATAGCTTAAACGGCTTTCTAGCTCCAAAATAGAGCGTATCGTCATTTGACTGTAAAAACAAGATAGCTCCATTTCTCTACCACAACTCTCAAGGTGACGTCACGAAGCTCCGTCCACATGCGCAACATCCTATCTTCAGTGTATGTGTATCGTGGGCGCCATCTATTGGACAAGTGGCAACTGCTTGTTCCGGAAGTTGTTACGCTCAGTATATGACTTATTCTTGTTCAAGGGATTGTATACGCTTTAAGAGATACCTCACTTTAGGCCTATTTAACGTCACTTACGAGCCCTAACACAAAATAGTTCGGACATTACTTCTTTAAGGTTACAAAATATTTCTTTTATAAGACATTGAAACATATCGTTTAGACATCATATTAACAAAAATTATCATCAATTAATATGATATTAAGCTATAAAACTAAACTTGATAACTTGATAACAATATTTGGCTGACAGCCTTAATAGCATTAATTCTGGCTTGCATAGTCTTAACAAGGGCTTTCGCAGTCTTCCGCCTTTTTTTCTATGATTTTTTGAGATCCGCTCGACTTAATGGCCCACCCTGTATCTTCATAAAAATGCTAGGTTTATTGCAATGATTTCACGGAAACCGAAGCTATCTCCCCGGCTAAATGTTGGAAGAATGTACTATGTTCATACACACGATGTCAGACGCATTCTCAATCAGTGCGAGAGCTTCTATTAAAATAGTCTGGTGGAAGGCGAATGAGATATATTATGTAACAGTTATGACATTTTCATAGCATGCATTGTAGATAGATAAGAAGCTACGAAACGTTAGGAATGTCCCGCGTGAGCTTTCAGTGACTGGAGCTCGCATATCATGGGAACATTCTGCTAAGTATCTTGGTGTCACTTTGACAAGGACATGTACATACGTTTAGGCAACTCTATCCTAAACTATGTAGAACCGAAAAATTAAGTTTGATCAACAAAGTTTGGCATTACAAGATGGTTATTAGACCAGCAATCACTAATGGTGTTTTCTCTCCAAAACGCATACATGCTATGTTACCGTCACTAACCCATGATGTGTCTCCAACGAGATCCTCCATAGATACCTCGACATCCCTTACCCAAGAGACTACACCAAACAACAGGCGTAGTTACTTATAGTCAAGCGAAATCGCACAGGCAGCCCTGTGTTGCGTGAGTCAGTGGACTACACAGTGGGCAAGTTCGCAAGCACACAAGACCGCAGTTCGTAATGTGAATAAAATTTAATCCTAATTTGGTCTAACTAAAATTACATATGAATACCTAAATTAATTTGGCACCTGACGCACTTCCTCTTTTTTGCTCTTTCTCCTTTCCTTCTTCTGGCTTTCTTTCTCTCTGACTTTGCCTGGTATCTGGGCACGCAGACCTGACAGGCACACTGCCCTACGATACTTTAAGCAAGAGCAAAGATAATACTGGCCCTTCCGATGGACAATCAGAGGTAGAGTATAAAGGTGTTAGGAATGCCCAATTTTTAGGTTAAATAGAATTTGTCGGACAAATCTAACAAAACTACTGCGACAATTGGGCTACTCCTACATTTGAGCTACTGGCAATTTGAACTACTAGATATTTGAACTACTGGTCATTTTACCTGCTGTACATTTGAACTACTGGTACATTTGAAGAACTGGGACATTTGAACCAATCCAACCAATCCAAACCAAACAAAAAGTGGGACAAACCTAACGAAAATACGTGCGACAAATCTAACGAAACTACTGGTCCATTTAATCTACTGGTACATTTGAAGTACTGGTACATTTGACTACTGGTAGATTTGAACTACTGCTGATTTCAACTACTGGACATCTAAACTACTGGTACATTTGAACCAAACCAACCAATCTAAACCAAACGAAAAGAAGTGGGACAAATCTAACGAAAAGAAGTTGAGCAGACCTAACGAAAAGAAGTCGGACAAACCTAACGAAACTACTGGTACAATTGGGCTAACTGGTACATTTGATCTACTGGCCATTGGAACTACTAGATATTTGAACCACTGGTCATTTTACCTACTGTACATTTGAAGTACCAGTTCATTTGAAGTACTGGTACATTTGAACTACTGGTACATTTCAACCAAACCAACCAAGCCAAACTAAACAAAAAGAAGTGGGACAAACCTAACGAAAATACTGGTACATTTAATCTACTGGTACATTTGAACTTCTGGTCATTTGAGGTACTGATACATTTGAACTACTGGCAGATTTGAAATAGTGGTGATTTGAGCTACTGGACATCTGAACTACTGGTACATTTGAACCCTACCAGCCAATCTAAACCAAACGAAAAGAAGTGGGACAAATCTAACGAAAATACGTGCGACAAACCTAACGAAACTACTGGTCCATTTAAT